CTGGGTATTTAGGTGACAAATGTGATAACACTACTCTGAAAAGATATATACACTCCTATGTTCATTGCAACATTATTTACAATAGCCAAGATATAGAAACAACCAGGACACCTGGGTGGCTTGGTTGGTTAAGCGTCTGGCTTTGGCTCAGGCCAGGATTCCTAGGTCCTGGGATTGAGTCCCATGTTGGCCTCCTTGCTCAGTGGGGAGCCTGCTTCTCCCTCTGCCTGCTGTTCCCCCTACTTGTGCTCTCTCTGAAAAATAAACAAATAACATCTTAAAAAAAACATATAGAAACAACCTAAGCATCTGTTAAGAGATGGTTAAGGAAGATGTAGTATATTTATATAATGCAACACTACTCAGCCATAAAAAGGAAAAATCTTGCAATTTGTGACATGGATGGACCTTGAATGTATTACATTAAGCAAAATAAGTCAGATGCAGACAAATGCTATAATTTCACTTGTGGAGTTTAAAAACAAAAATAAACAAAACAAAACCTCATAGATACAGAGAATAGACTAACGGTTAGAGAAGAAAGTTGAAGGTGGGCTAAACAGGTGAAGTGGGACAACTGTATAGTGATGGACAGTGACTTCACTTTTGCTGGTAATCACTTTGTAGTGTATACAGATGTTGAATTATAGAGCTGTACACCTGACACATAAGAAAGTGTAGGAAAAATGTCACCACTTACGGGTTTGATTCTCAAAATATTTTAATCTTGAGAGAGGAGAAACTGGCTGTTAAGTTCGTTCGGCAAGTAATAGCAGTCTCTTCAATTCAGCCCTGATTTCCAAAAAGGAAAACAAGATTCAACAGCATCTAACTCATCAGCTAGGCACGTTTTATATTTTTTTTTATGGCATGTAATTTAGAACATTAAGATAAATGAATTTTTTAAAGATTTTATTTATTTGACACAGAGAGAGAGAAAGAGAGAGATCACAAGTAGACAGAGAGGCAGGCAGAGAGGGAGGGAGAAGCAGGCTCCCCGCCAACCAGGGAGCTGGATGCGGGGCTTGATCCAAGGACCCTGAGATCATGACCTGAGCCAAAGGCAGAGGCCTAACCCACTGAGCCACCCAGGTGCCCCAAGATAAATGAATATTAAAGAATGGAATGAAAAATGTGCATGAATTCTGTTGTGAAGATGGGAGTGAGGAGGACTCTGATTTCTGGCCTAAGTAATGGGGTGGATATGAAGCCCTGGACCAGAACTGAGGGGAAGGGAGCAGATGAACAGTGTAACCTGAGCCATTTTCTTTCACCTCTCCTGCCACAAAGGAAAACCTGGCACTCTGGTGCCAAGAGCACCACACTGGCACAGATCCTAACCTAATGTGAAGAGGGGGGCCTGGGCCAGCTCCCAACTCTGTCCCTCTTGCCCACAAACATACAATTCCTTTCTCTTCCACAATTTCTCACAATATGCTAAGGTTGGCCCTCGTCTAGGAATGAGGGAAAAAAGAACCACTATGGAAAAGTGAGAAGGATTTAATAATAAAGTTGTGTGGGAATCATTATTAATTTCAGTTTTTGACATGTCTGAGAAGCCTATAAGATAACCAAGTGGAGATTTCTGATAGGCACCTAGCAAAAAAATCTGGATATATAGGTAAGAGATTTGGGTTCATTCTATTATGCTCATTGAGGGCAGATGAAGTCACAAGAGGAGAGTAGCCAACCGTCAAGAACCTGTGGCTTCAGAGCATTAAAAGAAGCCAGGATTCAGGATGGATCCCTAGCCCAGGGAACCTAACATTGTGAGGATTAAGCAGAGGAAGAAGCCTGTACAGATTGTGGTCCCCAAGAAGGGAGAAAAACAGAGTGGTGTTATGGAAGCCAAGGAAAGACCATTTAAGGAAGGAGAGGTGGAGAGAAGACTCAAAGTGCTCATTTACTACCCATGCCCTTTCGATGCTCCTTAGAGCATAGCAGGAAACAGATCCCCGCAATGTGGCCTTTATTTCAAAATTCATGCAAATGTCGTATTCTATTCTTGAATATATTTTTGCTTTAATATAATAGTATTTTAAATGATATACCATAGAAGAAAAACAAATAAAAATTCCAAGCCTTATGAACTATCAAGAAATTACTTCCATCTTCTGGGTCTTATACCTAAATGGCAAACAAACTGTAGCTGATTAGAGCTCTAACTTATCTGTCCATACTGACTCACTGGCTGTAGAAATTCCCCATTTTTGCAATTATCAACAATTTTATTTATTTATTTTAAAAAATATTTTATTTATTTGGCAGAGAGAGACACACCGAGAGAGGGAACACAAGCACGGGGAGCGGGAGAGAGAGAAGCAGGCTTCCTGCTAAGCAGCAGGGAGCCCGATGCGGGGCTCAATCCCAGGATCCTGGAATCATGACCTGAGCCGAAGGCAGACGCCCAACAACTGAGCCACCCAGGTGCCCCGCAATTATCAACAATTATAAATAAAAAAGCGGGGCACACATCCCTTGGTTAGCTTAGCAGGTTCCAGTGGGAACAGGTCAAACTATCTGTGAAGAATTTGTTTCAAACTGTTATATGTGCAATTCATAATGTTCTCTTGTGATAAAAGCTAGTTTTCTTATTCAAGTACTATTAACAAGGTGTCCTTGTTAATTCTTGCACTCAATGGGTATTCAAAAGTTTATTGGATGAACAAACTTATGTGTATTAATTTATATGAGTTAGAACAGTCAATTCTCTCCATGTCAGGGAAAAAAATCCATTCATTTTGCTGAATCAAGGAAAGACAGGGGGAAATACATGCCATCTACAAACTCAAGAGTCATGTTGCTTTATCTGCCACCGGAAGGTATTCTGAAGTTAGGGAGTCTGGTGTCAGGTCATAATTACACCACCACCCAGCTGGGACTTCTTCCCCCAACCCTTTAAAAAAATATTTTATTTATTTATTTGACAGAGAGAACAAGAGAGCACAAGAGGGGGGAGCAGCAGGGGGGAAGGGAGACGCATGCTCCCTGCTAATCAGGGAGCCTGATGCAGGGCTCGATCTCAGGACCCCAGGATCATGACCTGAGCAGAAGGCAGATGCTCAACTGACTGAGCCACCCAGGCACTCCAGCTAGGACTTCTTCCTTTGCTAGAACTACCTTTGGGCTGCCAGGGGGCAGGAGGCAGAAAGGAAGAGAAGGTGAGGTCAAGTCCCCAGCCACCTGTTTCATCCAGTTTGTTTATTTAATGTTTTTGACTCCAGTGTATTGAAATTTGATCTCACATGAGAATAGGGCTCTTTGCTCAAAAAAGGGAAAAAAAAAAAAAAAAAAGGCTTGAAAACCACTGGATTAGACTCTAAGGTCTGGAAAGACTTTCAAATTATATATGACTCAAAGTATCTTTAATATTGCTTAAGTAAGTTTTTGGTATATTTTTGGCAATGTAAAGTTTCTGGGAACAATTTCAAAAACCGTAATTAATTTCCTCAAAGATCAAAATAAAAATAAGAAAAATAAGAAATGTCTTAAAACTGCAAAATCAGGAATGAAAGCTGTACTGAAGAGAAAACAAAAGAATTAAAAGAAATCGGATGACACATCTTTTTCAAATGTCACATTTAATGTTTTCACCACTGTACTTCAAATCTACATTGTACAAAGTGACCAGTAAGTGTGCCACGGTAATTGACCAACCTCTGAGATTGTACCTTTCACACCAGTGTCTTCTTGGGCTCTTTTGATACTAAACACGTTTCTCATTCAAGTGAATTGAAATGCTTCAGTTGGGTTGATTCTCAGGAGCCTCATAAAAAAAAAACAAAGATATTGCACCATCTTTGTTTAGTAATTCAATGTTTGTTTCTTTCACAGCAAATAATTACTTCATTGAAGTTAAAACTTCCAAACATAACTTATTAATAGTCTTCAAATTCAGCTCAGATCACTCAAGATGAAAATACTCTGCTAAATACAGATAACTTACAATAACTTTAACAGTTAATTGTCCATAACACACACCAAGGTTTTTTCCTAGACCAATTTTAAGACGATCCATTAGTATTCCTTGTACAGGTGAAAAACGATCTTCAATTTTCTTGTCTTTTTATTTTTAATATAAAAGTTGGAAGGGACATTCAAGTTTCAAGTCTCCACATTGAACTTAAAAAAAAAAAAAAAATAGTCATCATCAGCATGTGGAGGTAAACAAGCCAAGTTGTATAACTCCAGGAGGTAGAGGCCTTCAATTTGTATTCATATATACATATGCACAGAAGAATTCAGTGTTCCAACAGAAAAAAAAATTTGTCAAAAAGTAATAAGTTATTTACTACTGTGACATTTCAAGACTCCCACAGCTTTGCCTAAGGACACAAACACATTTGACATAATTCCCTATGTGCCTTTTTTTGTGGCTTTAAAATTTTTAAAAATTTGTTTTTGTCTTTATTTATTTATTTTTTAACTGTCCAGTGCAGGAAAAGTCTCACAAAATTTCACAGACCTAAAATGTGCAAGCTAGTTCTCTCTCTATACAGCAATGTTGGGATTCTTTTGAAATTAGCCCAGAAATGAATTATTTACACACGTGAAAGATGCATGCTTGGGGGGTTCTTTTATGTAAGAAAGAGCAGAAAAACTTCTAATAAAAATAGATTAAATATATATATATATATTTATACTGGGTAAGGAAAACAGAAGTTTAGTCTCTCCTAGTCACAAACTCATTCTCTCTACCCACAACATTGGATTTTAGACAGCACACATCACCGTCACGGCTCTAATGAGAAGCTAATTATAGGGCTTGATCATTAGGTGGCATGCCCCACCCCCCACCCCCCCAGGTGCAGCCACGATCAGCTCATGTGGCTCCATGATTGGTCGCAGGCAAGGTTTCTAGATTCTTTTGTTTTAGAAAACCCCAAATTTTCAGGAATGGCTCAAATATCAAAATGTACGACTGTCCTCTGTGTGTGTGTGTGTGTGTGTGTGTGTGTGTGTGTGAACAATCTCACTTCATTTTAAGAAAAGAAAAACAAAACAAAACAAAAACACAAAACCCCAAAATCCCAAATTTGGTTCAATTCTCTTTTGTTCTGAGGTGAGCCATAACAGCTGCACTAAATTCATAAAACATGTGCAACTCTGGGTAAAATATTTTTCTTCTAAAAGCACAACCACTTTACAAGATTAAAAGTCTAGTAACATTTCTAAATATTATTCATATCATACAAGTAGTGGTTGTTAATTTAAAACTTCATTAGTAAAATTACAGTACAAGCATGATTAACCTCCAGAATTGCAAATCCCAGACTCCAGTGGAAAGCTACATTACATCTTCAGTAGTACATTATCTTCCACCGTCACTCCCACACCAGAGGAGATGGGGGCATCTCAGACGGCTGGGCGACAGTGGAACTGGAAAAAAATGGAGACACAGTGAAACCAGGTGTGACACCACAAAGGGCAAGAGGATGAGTCAACGCTGTGTGTTTTCCTCTCTTCCTTTAAAAAAATTATAAAGTCCATTTCTGGATTTTTATTTGTTTAACTTCTCTAAAGCTGCATTTGTTCCAAATTGTTCATTCAAGAATCTGTATTGATAAGTGAGGCAACAGTGATGGGCTTAAAGATGAGTCATTTACTTGAGGTGGGAGGCCGAGCATAATTCTCTTTTGGAAAGGGATGATGCCTGCCATCCATCTTGTAGGACAGTGATGAATACATGAGATAATGTAGGTAAAGTGCCTTCTACCGTGCCTACTTTGTAATATGAAGTAGGTGGAAGGTATTACAATAATGTCTATAATCAACTAAGAAAATAACCTCAAGGGATGCAGAATTATCCATTTAAAAGCAGCCTCTCAAAATACAGTGACTTTAAGTGGGAATCTATGTGAATGAGCCTTACAGGCACTCTTTTATGAAGTATGAATTCAACAGTAATGATAATCATCTAGCATTTGTTATCCACGGATCAGTTTTCTCAGTTATTTCACGTATCTGTCTAATTTTGCTAACTAGATTATAAACTTGAGGGTGTGTGTGTAACCATTTTGCTTCCCAGGGGCCCAGGATAATGAATAACTTGCACCTGAAAGGTATTAAAACACATGATTGACTGGGTCACTAACTCTTAGGGGAAAATAATAAAGTAATTTTGAACCACAGAAAGGTAAAAATGCAACCTAATTCCTTCTTTCCACAGAAAAATACATGGAAGAAATGAAAGTCACTCTGATTAAAAAAATTCTAAACAAAAATTCTTGACCTTGATTTAATAACTTTAATCAACTTCAACATCATGTCAAGGCCAATTAAAAGGGAAGCAAGAAGAAGAGGGAAAGGCAGAAAGGCAGGTGGAGAAGAAAGGAGGAAGAGTGTGGCCTCTCAGATCTAAATCCACCCTTCTCTGTCCTGCTTTGTGATACTGGAGCCAGACCCTACTCACAGTTATCCTTTGCCAGCTGGCTTATGCTGGAAGGACACCGCAAGGCCACAGCATCAGGAAGCAGCTTCCCTTCCTGGTTCTGGAGTGGTTTTTTGACATGGAAGGCCCGGTTTTGTCCTACCCAAACTTTCTGGCAAGTTTCTCTGTAACCCAGCAGGCCTCTCTGATGGACCAGTTCTGCCCACACCTTTTGCAAAGTTTCTTCACCACCCTCAAGCTCTGTGTGTTCTTGTGGCAGTCATATCCTCTACAAAGAGGTCCAAATTTTATTAGCCTTGCGTGGAGGGTCCTTCTCCAAATTCTTAGTATCTTCCTTGTTCATTCTTCCTTAGTCTAGAGGGAGTACCTGCTTTCTGCATTTGCTACTTCGGGGCCCTCCAGAATCTTCTTATGCACCTTTTGGAAGTTAACCATCTTTTCCTAGTTAATACTTCTCACTACTAAATTTTCCCTGTTCACATTACCGGTGTGCTTTCTCCTGGCTGTACCTTAATTGATGCAAGGAATAGGGGAAAAGACACTGAGAAGGAAAGGACAGGGTGGGAGACAAAGTGAATGAGACTTGTCAGGTTCCAAAGCAGCTATGAAGCTCTTTAAACAAAACTCTAGATAGGACACACCAGCACTCTACCTATAAAATCATCTTGCTTGCATTATTATTAAGGTGGTGGGGATGGTAGTGGGAACCAAGATGACCATGTCTACTTCGAGGGCAGTGGCCACCATGCTGCTGCTGCAGGAGGATCCCTATGCATGTGCACAAGCAGTGAGCAGAGTGGTCATCTGTGAACAAAACTGCCAAAGCAACCCCCCACCACCCATGAAGGGGCATCAGTGTAGAAACCAATGCTCACATTTTTTACTTGCTTTTGACTAAAGTCAAAACTCGTAAAAGAAACCTTGTTTTTGTCTGTATTATCTAATCTAAATAAAAAGAGAAATATGCTGAATAATCAAATCACAATGACATCCTTTTAGTAACAAGAAAGTAAGAATTACATACATATAGTTACCTAATAAAGCTCTTAAAAGCAGCAGACTGCGGGTTGATGCAGAGAGGCACTCTGTTTCCTTTCTGCTGTTCCAAAATGAACTGGTGAATGATTTCTGTGGAGAAAACAAACATCATACAATCCATGCCAATCTGCAGGCCTGTGAGCACTAGACTCTCAGCTAACTGGCCAGCATCTGCAAACAGCATTTCCCACTGGTTTTGTGAGGTCAAGCACACAGATCATGTATAAGGCAGGATCCAGTGGAACTTTCCTGAAACCAAAGTGACAGTGGCTGCTAAACACAGGCAACTTCCCCACCCCCCTGACCAAATGGCATTTATATGGGTTTAAAACTCCATCCAAGGGAGGAGTAAAATGGTCTACAAATTTGACAGTGATTCCACAGAGCTGGCCTTATGAATCGATTTTCTACGTTGATGGTAATTATTGCTCTTTTGAAAATCACTTAAAAAAACCCACAGTTGTTTAGGTTCATAGTTTTGGGCTGTTTACCTCGGGGTCTACTCTCTTCTAAAACGCCCTAAAATGTCTAATATCATTCAGAATTTTGGGTGTCATTAACCTCCATCTCCACCCCAGCAGGTGATCGTGTCAGGGAATTTTATGAGTGGACTATTGGAAATTCTCCTCTCTTGTGATCATTCAAGGAATGATTCCCTCAGTGGGTGTTTATCCTTCCTAAAATTTGCATGTTATATAAAAAAGTCCAACGTGTTTCATGCAATGAAATTACACTGAGTGAATACATATTATCTGCTTTGAGTCTCACACTCACTAAACAAGTCAGTCTGAAAAGCTCCTCTGCCTGACCCTTCACTGGATGCAATATTAAATCTGTTTTTATAACACACATAGCTTTCTTGGCATATATGCCCTGGACAAACAGCTATATGCAACATTGTAAAATAAACATATGGAGGAACTTTGGTCACCATCAAGACTCAGTTTTTCACAGCCACATAATGGAAAATGTTATTATTCATCCTGCCTGGCCGGAGGCCAAAAATGATACTCACCTTTAACCTGTCGAACAGAACTGAGGTTCTTCTCAAAAGTGTCATCAAATTTGGGATTGGTGATGGGCTCAAAGTCACTGGTATAAACTCTTCCAGTAGAGGTGGAAAAGCAACATTTACACATACACGTGTGATAGCGTAGTCGGCCTTCGTCTAGGTAGGGATGGGCTAAGGCATCCTTAGCGGATATTCTTTTGGACTGAAATCAAATTTAGAGACCAGCACATCAACACTACAGATAAACATGACTGTCTACACAGGATCTTTCATTAAGACACAGTGACTGCTTCTCACAGCTTATCCCTAATTTATAGTGTGTCTTGTATAAAGAAGGATGTCTGAACGCAGAGGCACGTTAATGCAGCAGCAGAGTGAGTATATGACGTAGGACAACCAACCACCAGACACCACCAGAAAGCATTTAGAAGTGACTCTGCTAAGATCCCGAAGAGTTCCTACCTTGAAATAGATATATGCATGGTCAAAAATGGCAAATACCATGACATTTAAATATGCAAAGCTTTGGAGGGGATAAGTTTACATTTTAAATAACAGTTATATTTTCTAAATGTGTTTTGGCATTTGGTAGAGATGTGATCACAGTGGCAATTTTACAAAGTTGCTTGAAACTTTTATTCTCTTAGAATGCCAACTGAACTTAGGGCAAAAGCCTATGGGGAACTGCTGGGGTCAGGCAGCAGATAAGGTCTGAATGCCATGTTTTGACAGCCAACACCGTCTGAGTATCAGTGGCCTGTGGTTTTCTAGCACTTCAGATCAGAATACTTCATGTAGTAGGTTCAGGTTTACATAAATCATAAAATCATTTCTCCATTAAAAAAAAAGAAACAACCCTGCTCCTCTTTTTAGCTTAGTGGACATACACGTACATTTTAAAGAATTTAAGGATGGATTCAGTACAGAGTAACAAAAATGGACACTCTGCCCCACTTCACACACAACACAATTAAAAACAAAGGAAACCATTTGGTGCTCAAACCAAAAATATATGGATCATCCTGACTGGTTCTGGTCCCCCAAATAACAAAATGGTAACTATTTCCCATAAACCTGGTTTCCCTAAAAACACTTCTATCTCTAATTTTTTGCTGATGTTAAAAGGCATGTCATGACTTTTCAGGATATGATAATCACAAAAGAAAGCTGCTGTTTATATACCATGAACAGACGAATGTAAACTTGACAACCTTGGTTTTGTTTCTTTCACTACCTGTCATATGGTATAACTGGTGATCCAGCCCTTATGAAGCTTGACTCGCTGGTACTCTTAGCAAGTAAGCTTCTTCTTTTTTTTTCTAAATGGATCCAGCTATTCCTAGAGGTTTCACTGGGATAAAGGTCTATTGTCAGAACCAAAGGAAACAAGCTGGCTAGACAGTACATTGTGCCTGGGACCAGGCCCCTTGGGAGTCCTCAGTGACCCTGGCCGGTCTCATGTGAGGGACTGAGCTCTTTGGCTTCTGCATACTAGAGCTGGTTCTTGGACAAATCTATTTCTGTTTCTGACTGAGCATGGCCAATTGTGAACACACAGGTGTTAGCAGTGGGTGAATCTGGGTTTTAAGTTTATCACCTGACCATTAAGTCATTTCCGTCAGGTGGCAGATGTCAGAAATTGGGTCATCTCAGCTGCCACCAGCAGCTGGAATCTGGTTTTCCTGTTAGTTTTTTTTGTCTGTGGATTCTGATATTTCCTAAAATTCCAGCATGCAGGTTTGAAAAGATTTTGGTGTTATCCCAATGACTGATAGCATGCTCTGTTTTTGAACGTTCTGTGTGCACCAACATGGGGTCCTCTAAAGTATTTTACCTAAGAGAAGTCTTTGAACAAAAAGTAAATCAAATCCTTAGCATGCAATCAATGATCAGCTTTCATTTTTCTAAATAAATTAATGTCTCTTTAGAACTTCTGCAAAGAAAGGAGACTGTCATTTTGTAAAGGGTATGAACACTGAAAAGAAAAACTGCTTTACTAAATTGAAAAAGGGATCACAAAATTACTCAGATTTTTCAATAATGTTCTTTGGAAGGACCTAGTGGTGCTTAATTGTGTTATCTCTCTCTCTCTCTCTCTCTCTCTCTCTCTCTATATATATATATATAAAGATTTACTTATCTGAGAGAAAGCATGTGTGCGTGCATGTACAAGTTGGGGGAAGGGCAGAGAGAGAGGGAGAAGCAGACTCCCTGCTTGAGCAACAGAGCCCGACTTGGGGCTCGATCCCAGGGCCCCAAGATCATGACCTGAGCCAAAATCAAGATACAGACACTCAACTGACTGAGCCACCAAGGCGTCCCATGTTCATATATATTCTTAATGACATATTGTACACATGTTGTTTAACTGATCAACATTTATAATAGATGTGGACACTTGTTTCTACCCTAGATTTTGTTGCTTCATCAGAATTGTGGCTCTTTTAGTTCTGAAGAGTTAATAAAAATTTCCATTTTACAAATAAAAAGCATTTCTAAGCAAACACATTAATGTACTTTGTATACCTCTGAGGGGAGTTAATATATCATGTTATGAGATCTCTTAAAAAGCTAATGGGGCAAATTCCTATTCTAACTGGTTTTGAGGACCAATATCAACACATTAAAGACATATACAAAGAAATGAAAAGATTTTTAAAACCCTATTCTTCTTTATGTATTAAATGTATTGGCTATTTAGAAATTTTTCTTGCTAAAGTTGTAACTCATAGGGGTGCCTGGGTGGCTCAGTCAGTTAAGTGTCTGACTCTTGATTTCACCTCTGGTCATGATCTCAGGGTCCTGGGATTGAGCCCTGTGTTAGGCTCTGCCCTCCGTGTGGAGTCTGCTTGTCCCTCTTCCTCTGCTCCTGCTCTTTCTGTCTCTGTCTCTCTCAAATAAATAAATAAATAAAATCTTAAAAAAAAAAAAGTTGTAACTCAAAGATTAAATAAAGCTTTAACTGTGAATTAAAATAATATTCTTGGTTTAGTAGGTTACAAAGTAACAAGCAAAATATTTCTCTTAACTTAAAAAAGTTTTAATATCTGGTATATAATTGTATAAGATAAAGAGGTCATATGGTATTACTATGCAAGGTGACTCTGGACAAATCAGTCTGAGTTAATAGTTATAAATATTTTAAAATCTCTGTTTTCTTTCTGATTTTACTGCCATGTACACATAATGCCATCACAATATTCTATAAATTTTGGGTTTTCTCACAAAAAGCCTAATCATTTTGAATTTAATTTTTTTTCCACTGATTTTGTTGGTCAGATAAACTAATATCCCTTTGTGTAAGATTACAGAATTGCAAAATTATGTATTCAACTACATTAGATGAATGATAACAGGTAACGTGCTTTTAAAAAGAAATTAGTTTTTAGAATGTTACAATTCATAAGGACTTAATTTGTCAACTTAAATTTTAATCTGATTCTTAGTTAATATTAAGACCTTGGCAATAATTAATTTGAGTTAATAGACAGTCGTTGGGATACCTGGACAACATAATTTTAATATACAAAGACTCTTCATTAATATATCATAGAGGAGCCATCAATAAACAGTTAAAAAAGATGTGCAAGGGGCGCCTGGGTGGCTCAGTGGGTTAAGCCGCTGCCTTCGGCTCAGGTCATGATCTCAGGGTCCTGGGATCGAGCCCCGCATCGGGCTCTTTGCTCAGCGGGGAGCCTGCTTCCTCCTCTCTCTCTACCTGCCTCTCTGCCTACTTGTGATCTCTGTCAAATAAATAAATAAAATCTTTAAAAAAAAAAAAAAAAGATGTGCAAGTATCTTTGGGTTAAAGTAATATGTATTTTGTAAAGAGTATAAAAGAGTATGGGATGATAGGAAGATGTTTATGCAAGATAACAGATATATTTGGCAAGAGGAAAAAAGTGAATAATTTTGTCTAACTTCCTAATAATTATTGCTGTGCTTTAAAAATACTGCTTGTAACTATTTATTGCATTTAGATAAAGTCTCTGGAGATTTGTTTAATGCCTTCACTATTTGGGTTAATAGTTAATTACACCTTTATAAACTGATTACTACAACCCATCCTTTCCAACACTACTGATATTATTAGAATAAAAGAACCAGAGCCCTTCACCTTACCCTTTAGTGGCTTCTGGTTTCTCCTTTTATTTGCCTAAAGACTTCTACTACAAGCTAAGGAATTAAATTTCCCATGAGAAACATCACAAGAACCTCAGTAAAGGACTGTTACACCAGGTACTCCTGACTACTAAATTCAGGACATAAACTTATGGGAACAGCTGATATTATCACCACAGACAGCCATCACCTAGATTAAACCAAGTAACTGAGTCAGGATTTCAGAATGTGTCAGTCCAAGAGCAGACACATGCTTAACCCAAGATCAGTAAAGTAATTAAATAATTATCTCAGACTAACCGGACTAAATAAAGTGATTTAATTATGGCTAATGTTCTATTTTTAATGGATATTTTTTAAAACCTCATTTCTTTCTTCTTAATGTATCTCTAGCCCTCAATTTAACAGGTTAAAATCAGAAACACTCTTTAAAAATGCTATCTATTTCTAACTGAACCCTCAGAATTAGAAAGAAAAGAATCCTTAATATCAGTCATAAACTAATAAAGCATCAGGCCTCAATTTAACAGGTTAAAATCAGAAACACTCTTTAAAAATGGTATCTATTTCTAATTGAACCCTCAGAATTAGAAAGAAAAGAATCCTTAATATCAGTCATAAACTAATAAAGCATCAGGCCAATTTAAAAATGATTTTGTAAATAAATAATAATATATTTTGGTAAATAAATAATAATATATATATTATATATATATTATATATATTTAATATATATTTTAATAAATAATAATATATTTTGGCCTTGTTCTATAAGACAATGATAAAAATGGGTAAATATTACATGGGGTGTGTTAATGGAATTCTTTTTTTTTAAATAACCATGGAGTTATTTGCATAGGTCCAGTAAGAATTGATCCTCTTTTTATTTTTTTACCAGATAAATCTTACCTCCTTCTTATAGATAAACCTAATGTATAACTATGAACACACCAAAAGCTTCATTTTAATTAGGTGTGACAATCCCACTCTTAAGGAAAAAGGACATTTCATGTGTAGAACTGATGTCTAAAAGGCCTCCCAGGAAAACATGCCTGGTATCCACTCTGTGGCTTAGGAAATTCCAGCCTTAGGGCTGTAAAGATTATGAATTCCTGGCAGGACAGGATCATTAATAACCATGGGATCTCAGAGAAATAGGACAGCTAACAGCTCTAAGTACTGCAAATAAAAGTTGGTACAGGTGAATCACATGGTTCTTGGTTCTCAATCTTAATAGAACTAAAAAGAGTAACATATTTCTGACACATAAACATAAAATTTAACCTCAGGGCCTTTATTATAATTTATTTATTATATACTAATATACAAAATATATTTGTTATATATTGTCTAGAGGCATACAGAAACGACCTCTGACGCTTGAAATTCATGTGGTTCTAGTTTTGTTAACCACAAAAGATATATAAAAAATATGTAAAAGGTCTTTAGGTATTAACATCTGTTGTATAAATAGTTGAGCTACGTAGATAGGCTTGCCAAATAAAACAAAAAAATCAAACTAATGACACTAAATCACTAGCTCACTGAGCAAGTGATGTGCTGGAAACTGTCCTCAATGGTAGAAGCTTGGCCACAGGGAGGGGGTGTGGAAACAAGAAGGGCCACTCTGTTTTGCTTCCCATATCATGGGCACCTCACATGCTGAAGTAAACAAATGGAAACCAAAAAATAAACACCAAATGAAGAAAAAATTCACTCCGTCCCCTGAAATGCAGCTGTTTTCTCATTATGAACATACCAATGTAAATTTCATAAATGGTACTTTTGTGGTTTTTCCCTCTTTAAATACCTGCTGTGTTTGTACTTGAGGAATTCTTATACTCTCGGCAAGTAAGACGTTCTTTTCTAAATGTTTTCATTTTTGAGTCTTCTTTGGCAATAGTTACCAGAACAGAGACGAGTAATAAATACTCTTCGGATGAATAGGTAAATGAAGACCTGAACTTTGTCCCAGAAGAGTCAAGACTACAAATGGCATTTGATAAAGCTACCATCTCAACCACCAAACGAGTCAACAGTTCCTTATGCAATATAATGGGCAGATTATTTCCAAGAACGTTAAAATTCCTTTCTCCTGATTTACCTTGGCGTCAAATTCTTTTTTCAAATCCTGAGATAAATAAGGATGGTGCAGGTTCCTTATCACTTTTCACCTAGATGTTTATGTGTTAATAATCAAACTTCTGTGCAGTGAGTGGGCACAGTGGTACACACAAAACTGGGGACTGAAGTTTATCTTTGAAAAGTCATCCTTTACATTGCTCATCTATTTATTTATTTATTTATTTTTTAAAGATTTTATTTATTTATTTGAGAGAGAGAGAGCATGAGCGAGGAGAAGGTCAGAGGGAGAAGCAGACTCCCCATGGAGCTGGGAGCCCGATGTGGGACTCGATCCCGGGACCCCGGGATCATGACCTGAGCTGAAGGCAGCCGTCCAACCAACTGAGCCACCCAGGCGTCCCACATTGCTCATCTATTTAAAGCCAGGATGTTTTTCTTAGAACACATGTATTTTTAATTCATTAAAACAATATAAAAATAAACACTACTTACTGGATCAAAGACCAACATCCTGCAAAGGAGATGAACAGCTTCATGTGTAGCCTGGCTAGACAGGGTATAAAGTACAGGAAGAGATGGCTGCAAGAAATGAAGAATTAAAATATGTGAGTCTCTGTGTACGTAGATACAGAATACAGCCAATTTATTACAAGTATCCAGCTCAAAAGTTGTGTGCATATATGTATAACCCCTCAAAGGGAAGGGGTATTCCCCTAATTAACCAATCTTCAGAAGCAGCAACTGTTACTGACTTCCAGTAGAATATTTTATATTGCAGGATTACCTATTGTAGGTTAGCTCACAAAGGAGCCTACAAAAAATGAAGGCTAATCCTGTAAATATGGTGCTCCTGTTAGTCTTATACTGTAAATGCTCAGGCAAGAAGGGAAGACCAAACATGCCTGGGATTGGGAGGCAAAAATATTTAAAACCATAGGTACGTGCGAAGTCAAGCATGGAAACTGTGCATGTGAACTCTGTCTTACACGTCGCCTATTTCCAACAAAGCCACATAGTAAAAACCCAGTAAGAATAGCAGCAAGGTGTCTCAGAATCACCGGGAGAGAATTATTTACCTCATAGAAGTTTTCTGCAGGATCAAGGACTAACAGAGATGAGATGAGATGAGGCTCTAATTCACTAACCGATTGGATAAATCAACATGTGAGAATCCCAGTATTCTTAAGCACAGAAGGAGATGGTTGGACTAAATGATCTCTGAAGTTCACTTTAGCTCAAAAATTATAGGAAACGCGGTAGGATTATGACAGAAAAAGCATTATGTGAACAGAACCCATTTACAATTGGCACTCAAATATTTGTTTGCCAATAGAGAAGTATTTCTTGTTAAAAATATGTAAGTCTATGGTAGTCCTGAAATTATCTACATTAGTCAAGGAGTGGCATGTGGAGAGTGTGGAGGTTTTGATTTACAACTTAATTTACATATTTCCCCTAACAATTTCTTTATTGTGTAAAATGAAGTAATCTGATATTTTTTTAAAGATTTTGATTCTTGGTTTGTTGTAAATAGCTGGTCCTTTTCAATGGTTTATGCAGGTTAGCAGCCAAATTTCAGCCAATTCTTACCAAAATATCTCACCATAAGCAAATCTCTTCTTTCCACTTTAAAAAAAAATTATTTTTAAAAAATAATTTTTAAGATTTTATTTTTTTAGTGATCTCTACACCCAACACAGGGCTCAAACCCACAAACCTGAAGTCAAGTGTCGCACGTTCCACCAAATGAGCCAGCCAGGAGCCCCTCCTTTCCACTTTTTTTTTTTTTTAAAGATTTTATTTATTTATTTGACAGACAGAGATCACAAGTAGGCAGAGAGGCAGACAGAGAGAGAGGGGAGGAAGCAGGCTCCCTGCAGAGGAGAGAGCCCGATGTAGGGCTCGATCCCAGGACCCTGGGATCATGACCTGAGCCGAAGGCAGAGACTTTAACCCACTGAGCCACCCAGGCGCCCCTCCTTTCCATTTTCCAAGTGAATTTAGTGTTATAGATGTTATAACATGTATAACATCTATAGATGGTGTTATAGCTTAAGGTCAGGGTCAGGGTCAGGAACACTGGGATGAGTACTAGAACAGGTGGGTTCCAATTCTAACTTTGCCATCACTATGGTCAAGTAAGTTGCTAGAACCTCAGCTTTCTCTTCTATTAGATTGTACTGGCACAGATCAGCCTACTGACCCAAAGCATTGTTAATCATTTACCATGCACAAAATGCCAGGGCCTGGGTTAGATGTTGGAGTAACAAAGATGAATATTGGGTCCTGGGTGGGCACGGAAAACATACGAACAAACAGTTCTAGAGGATGGAGAATAGAGGACAAATTAGAAGGCAAAATTTGTTAAGACACGAGGACAACTGGATACATGACGAGCTTGTGAAAATCAAATGAGTGGATGTTAAGGTAACCTGAAATTTTACACCCTCTCCCATCTTATCTTTCTTTATAGAATTACACCCTAACAACACACTAAAAATAAGGCTAAGTTTCACCACAGCCTCGAACCATCATCTTATGTTTTCTCCTTTACTGTGTTGCACGTTCAGAAGGGACACAGAGAAAAAGAAGTCAGTTCAGTTATGCCAATACCTCTCCAGAAGGATAACCACTAATAATTTAGTTCCTAGCACTGGCTCCATGGGAAAGATGCTGTACTAGAGATGCCAAATATCTAATTCCATTTTCTTCCCCTGTAATTCATCAGCCATTATGGTTGAAACCAGCTGGGCACAAGGTATCAGAACTAGATAAGAAGTTCATATTTCTCAGTCAAGCACAACAGAATCAATTTGAATGAAAAAACAGAATGCTTAGAAATATGCCCTAAATACTTCATTTGGGAAAAAGTTTTTGTCAATTCCCCCAGCATTCACAGATATTACTTTTTCCCTTTTAAGACATGCCAGGCCATTTTCTGTTCGTTTTGCAAGTTTATAAGCCATGTAGCAATGTAGGAGTGAGTAGGCGCCAGTGCTGAATCATGAGGATGGGAAAGGTTATCAAGAGTCCTCCATTAATGACTATGATTAACTGTCAGTGAAATGAAGCAAGGATGAGCTTCTGGACCTGGGTGAGGGGCCCTAAATTATATGTCACAGTCATCATAAGCCAAGGGCAGAGTGCTGGTCACCACAATAGAGTTGGCTAGGCTGGCTTGGCCGTTTGAGTCCTGTCCTGTAAGTTTTTAGCCAGTGGGAAAAAAACTGTGATCATCAGTCAGCAACGTTAATTAAGTATGCACAATGTGCAGTGCACTATATGGTGAGCACGCGGGGATTATATAAAAGAAATCCCGACCTGAAAAATAATTAGTTTGAATTGAATGAACTCTCTAACATAATCTATTAAATGTAAGATACGGTTCCTGTCAGGAGACAGAACCATTTTCACTTTAACGAAAATATTACATGCATTTCTGTCACAATTAGTTGGAGCAATCTGAGGAAAAAGGAAAATCTAAACCTTAAAAGAGATGAACAGAAGGACTAAGGGCTGATAATAGACTTTTCAATCCTACCAGTAAGTCAGTGCCTCAAAAAGTATCTACTTTCTTTTCTTCTTTTAAATATTTTATTATTTTAGAACAAGTGAGAAGAGGAGAGGGGGAGGGAGAGAATCTCACACAGAATCTGTGCTGAGCGCAGAGCCCAATGCAGGGCTTGATCCCATGATCCTGAGATCCTGAGATCATGACCTGAGCTGAAATCAGGAGCTGGCGGCTTCACTGATTGAGTCACCCAGGTGCCCCATGTATCTACTTTATTTTTTTGTTTTATTTTTAACAATTTTATTTATTTATTTGGCAGAGAGAGACACAGTGAGAGAGGAAACACAAGCAGGGGGAGTGGGAGAGGGAGCAGCAGGCTTCCTGCTGAGCAGGGAGCCTGATGCAGGGCTCAATCCCAGGACCCTGGGATCATGCCTGAGCAGAAGGCAGACGCCCAAAAACTGAGCCACCCGGGCGCCCCTCCCAAGTATCTACTTTAAAAGATACTTGGGTCATGGCAACTAAGATTGCATTCATCCAAGATTTTGAGCTGTAGAAAAGAAACAAACAAACAAACAAAAATACCGAATACCACTCCCTCTTCACTCAGAAATCAAAGGGCTGAGCTTGATTTCAATCTCTCAATTCCAAGGATGGGCATCTGACCCAGGCCTGGCCGATCAAATGAAATATTCCCTTGAACACCTTTGACTGACTCTGAGAAAGATACAGGTTCTAAAACAGAAGACAGCCAATGGACTGGCTAATCCAACACATACCCACCCCAATCCTCTTCTCCTTTACCTACCTTTATTACAGAAGATAGGAAACACTCATTTTTTTTTTTTTAAGCTTGTTTAACATCTGGGAGGTTACATATTACACAGTTCTAGACAATGACACAGAAGCAGAACCTTGCTAGGCAGGCTTCTGGGAAGATATCCTTTCCTAATAAAAGAGACAGATAGCACTAGTGTTCCCTCTTTCCTCCACTTTCTTGCTTTGAATGTGAATACGATTTCAAGCTACAGTCATTTTGTGGCCAGGAGGAGATAAGCTAGAGGGTATGAAATCAATATTCCTCAGATGGCAGAGCAGAAAGAAAGAAAAAAAACCCTGGGTCCTTGATGACATAAATTGAGCAGCTATACCAGCTCCAGACTGCAAACCTCTGGACTTCTTGATATGAGAAAAAAATGAACCCTTATGTCTTTAAACCATAGTAAGCAAGATTTTCTATTTCTCATAACCAAACATATTCATAACTGAATCAGAGACCTTCCAAATATTTTTTCTAGATCTGTTTGGGAAAGCTCTTTCCTGAAGGATTGATATGCTAGTAGAACATAGGTCTGGACCACTGGTTCCATTTTTACAAACACACAGGGGAAAAGAAAGCTTGTCTGAAAATGAAGCCAACACACAGGAAAACAAAACAGAAAAGAATCAGATTCCTGGCTTGGAACATCACTTGACTACTTAAATCCAGCAAAGACTGAGTCAGCTGTAGATCAACAACTTCATATGAAAAGTGCTACGAGCCAGTAAGTTCCCTTTACTTAAGCCAGTTTTTTTTTTTAAATATTTTATTTATTTATTTGACAGAGAGAGATCACAAGTAGGCAGAGAGGCAGACAGAGAGAGAGAGAGAGAGGAGAAAGCAGGCTCCCCGCCAAGCAGAGAGCCCGATGCGGGACTCGATCCCAGGACCCTGAGATCATGACCTGAGCCGAAGGCAGAGGCTTATTAACCCACTGAGCCACCCAGGCGCCCCTACTTAAGCCAGTTTTAATTGAGTTTCACCAAAAAGAGTCCTGACTGATAAACTGTATGGGAGTATGTGTGTGTGTGTGTATATATATATATATATTTTTTTTTTTTAAATAAGATTTTATTTATTTGATAGAGAGAGATTACAAGTAGGCAGAGGGGCAGAGAGAGAGGGGGAAGCAGGCTCCCCGCCGAGCAGAGAACCCAATGTGGGACTCAATCCCAGAACCCTGAGATCACAACCCGAGCCAAAGGCAGAGGGTTAACCCACTGAGCCACCCAGGCACCCATGGGAATA